AGTCCGAACCAGTTTTTCCCTTGCTGCAGCTTGTAATAAAACTGCCTCTGGCTACTTGTTGCTCACAAACTCAGAGTGAGGACAATGTTTTCTTCCACAATTTGGTGCCGTGACTCGGATGGCAACGCCCGATTGAAGACAGCGGCTGCGGACTGTCCCCCTTCACTCCCAGGGCGCCAAATGAGAGGTAAGAGACCTTTTGAAATCTCTACTGGGGTGTGGAGGAGGACTGCCTGTGGGGTCGTCTGCTTCTAGTGGGCTCACACCATCCGAACGTCTTGAATCTGCAACAAGGTCAGACGCAAAGCAGTTCCGGGGAGGTTGTTTTGTTACCCCCGAGTAGGCCTAAGTTTATGCAGTGCTGGGAACTGCTGTGGTTCTAGGGGGAAACGTGTTGTTTGCCGCCCTTGGGGGGAACAGTGTTGTTTGCCGCCCCAAATATGGACGAGATCCATAAAGAGAGATGCAACTAAAAGTGGGAACATTTCTGTGTGAAAAGCATGCTGAGTGTGAATGTAATGAGTGGAGTGTGAATGCCGCTGCCCAGGTCTCTGAGAAGTAAGCTGATTCCAGCCACACCAGAGCTTTCTCACAAGGGAGTTCTGAACGCAAGGGGAGTCAGCCGAACCTCGAGACCGAGCGGATATGAGAGGGAGTGACAACTCCCTTTATTTCATGAGCTGATGAGAAGGTCTGACATTCTAGACCCAGCAGACCCCTTCTTTGGAGTGTGTAGATTTAGTTTCCTATAAGCCACTGAACGGACAGGGAGTGGGTGAGTGGGTGCAAACTGCCTGTCTGTTCTGAAGAGGTGTGAAACCCACTGTCTCTCATAAATAAGCCTGTAACATTGTACATATGATTCTTTTCAGGAAAATAAAAGCTTTTTGCTTGCTGGAACAGTAACTGGCCAACCAACACCCTGTGCTAAGGAAAAGCATTATAGCTTCACACATTAAGCCTGATCTGTGGTACAAGAGGGAAACTGAGGCACACCATTGTTGGGGAGGGCTAGCAACTCTGAGGTAATTCAAGGGAGTGGAAGGTCACGAGTACTGATGAAGCACCCTTGTTCTCGGAAAGTTGCAGCTCACTCGCCCACGGAAGTGGTAAGGAACTAGCTGTAACTGGTTCCCCTAGCAGATCTTAGGCAGTATTTTAAGTTATAATGGGCGGCCACCCCGACGGGGATAGAAATGTTTTCTTGTCTTTCAGATCATCAGAAAGCGCTGGTGCCAGCTGAAGAAACAACCACCACCACCACCCATGGTTCTGTGTCATGACATAATAAGTTTGTGTTCTGTCCAAGTTTGTCTTGTGTGTCTTAATTGTAATACGTATTGCAAATGTTGTGTATAGAAAATTGTTTTTTAATGAAGGATAATTTGAGTAAAGCAGAAGCATTAATTTAAACCAACAAAATTAATAATTGGGCCCAATCAATTGGCAACTCTAAACTTAGTCAATTGGCAACTTTAAAATTCAGTGAAAGGATAATAGTTTGGTAATTGTTTAGGTTAGGAGAATGTTAACAATGTCTCCACAGGTGAACAAAAAAGGAACTGGAAGGAAGCAAGGAGTGCATCACGTGAACAGAAGGATGGGAGTGGGGTACCAGCCCTCTTCCCCACCGGATTGGTTTTGCTTTAATGGCTACACATATGAAATATTTAGCTTCTGCAAATTTGCACACCAACCATAAAAGTGGTTTGGCCAGAGAGAATAAGAAATCTATAAGAAACAACACGGGCAAGTGAAACATCAGCATATTAAAGTAAAGATGCCCACAACAATGAGGAAACTAGTAACCTCACCATTGCAATAACAGCTACTTGCCCTGCTACTCATTGGTGCCTGATGCCTTAAAAGGCCTCAAGAATTATAGAATTGCATGAGTTAACAGTTAAACATCTGTGAACCATGCTTGGTCCTATAAGAGAAACAGTGACTCTAGTCAATGTAACCTCCTTCATCAAGTCACATACATAGAACAAACACACGCTAATAGCAATGGGGAATACACGGCCTTGGGCCGCCCCTCATTCACACAGAATTATTTTGCTTATTGTAACAACATGAACACTACGAGGACAAAGAATACACAGTCCTCTGAGTTAAAGTTTGTATGGAATATTGTGGGAAAGAAGCTAAACACTGACATCAGGCCACTGAAGTTGGACCTACTGACTCCCACTGGGGCTTACCACTTAAAGCCCAGACAAAGGTAACCCCTGAGGCATGGCTGTCATTTGTTAAACATTGGCCATTGCTAAATTGCCCTCATTTGGATATCATCAACCAGGTCCTTAAGTACAAAATAAAACCTCCTGATTGTGCATCATGCCCTGAACAGACCCCTGTCCCAGAACCAGGACAACTGTCACTGCTCCTTACCTTGGTGATGTTCCACACTGGTATAGACCAGCTGTGTGCTAGACTGGCTAATCAAATTGGCAAGTGCCTGATTAGGCAACGAAGGGCTTAGCAGATACCAGCAACACTTATGTCATAGCCCAGAAATTGTATAGAATCCAGGCTGGTAGATGCAGTAATATCCAGTGTCCGTAAAGGCCTAGACGTCAGCCAAGCTAATCAAGTGATCCTAAATAGTTTGAAGGATCTGTCCAGCTCTGTGTCCATTTCACTAAACCTAACCAGATATTTGGACTGTTAATGAATGGAACTAAATTAAAGGAATTAGAAGGCCAGTACTGAAGAATAGGATAGCTTTGACACCCAGCCCTTATGGTGGTGAGTCCCCATCTCCCCCGTGCCTACCCATGGGAGTGGGGAAGTAGAGAATCCATGAGGACCCAAAGGCCCACCTGGACAGGGTATAATATAACCATTTGTTTTTGGCCCCTCTGGGGATTCCTCACTCAGATCAGATCAGAATGGTAACCTCCCTGCCTGTACCAAAGCAGGAGCATAAAGATAGAATCGAGGGCATTGCTTATTCTGAAGGTGTGGGGCCTCCCTATACCCAGGGATTGTTAACTCCTCAAAGTGCCCAGCGCAATGATCAGTGAACCTGGCCCATGCATAGAGTTTCCAGGCACTACCGTAATGCAAATAAGAATTAATAATTAAGACTGTACTCCTCTCTTAAGGCACTGACCTGGAACATAAGAGAGATTAATTCTATTCAGCCACGTGGTGCAGTGCAAGGCTCAGTTAGGAACATGCAGTTGCACAGTGCGATTGGGCTGATGTTGCATGGGGAAAGTTTAAGTCTGGCTCCTCCTAACGAGAGTTTCCCTTTGCAACATTAACATTCTTCTGACATAGATTTTTGGATGGGATTTCATTTAAGACTCTCTAACAACAGTGAGAATAGGACTGAAAGAGTTAAATGCTTACCTAGAATTTCACTGTAGTACAAATCCCATTCTCCCCAATAACTCTGAAAAACGTAGTCCTGGAGGCGGTAAGACACTATGTTTTTTATTCTTTCGCGGAACGACAACTTGTCTGTGAGTTCAGACAAGGCTGCAGGCACGTACGAAGGTGGAGCGGGCATCTTCCCACAATGCCGCTCCATTGTTGAGGCTGGTGTGAACCGCAGAGAGTACACAAATGGAATTCTGAGCTTGAGAGCAATTAGGTCTCCACAGAGAGTCACTGGATCGGACAGAAGCACGTCATACTTGCCCCTCTGCAGCCGAGCCATCAAATCCTGGTTGGCTAACACACCATCACAAGAATGTCTATTTTGCTCATTTAGTTTGCTGGCCATTTTTCCCAGTTCCTTGTAGAACTTCCAGAAGGTCAGTGCTGTTGGCTTATTATATAGCCACAAGTTCACTATGTCTTTGATCAAGGAGTCAATGTGTTTCTTCTCAAAAGGCACAGAGAACACCTCAAACTTCTCTGCTGTCTCACCGTACGGTGTGATAAAGAGGAAAGCGTTTGGCACTAGGACGGTGACATTATGCTCTCGGCGTATCAGCTCCTGTATAATGATCTTCATATTTAACCAGTGACTGCTCCCTGTAGGCCAAATCAGCACATTCCCACAGAAGACTGTTCCTAGCAGAGTGAGCTGAAAGGCTAGAAATTGGATGTGCTTCTTTGACACACTGGTTCTGGTTGTGGTGGAAGCCATGGTCGGCTAGATAGAAATCTATTTCTCACTCTCAGTCAGGGGCTCTCAGTCTCTCTCAGTGACGTGGAATAGCCACTTGCACAGTACTCCTAACACACACACCTTTTCCAGAAGAGATGTTTCTGATGAAGTGGGTCTTTGCCCAGGAAGACTCACACCCAAAGAAATCGCTACTTCCTTAAGCTACCACAGGACTCCTCGTGGTTTTTCCAAACCTATGTTGTGACGGATACACGTGGAACACAAGCGCTGTTTATGTCTCTGCATTAATAAGACAGAAAGTGTTACAACATTTCTTGCTGAACTCTTCTCTTTCCACTTGTGTTTTATCATCATTAGTTTCAATGGAGGAGAAAGAGGGCCAGAGGAAATCCTAAGCCTTAAATGGCACATGAACCTTGTGTTGCTCCCTCTGCATAGGGAGCACCTGCTCTATTGCCATGACCCCTCACCCTGCAACATTAACAGCCCTGATGTTACTTACTATAGCAGCCTTGCCTTACGTTTAGCACGGGTTTTTCCTTTGGTCTAAATATTTCTCCTTTTTCCCTTTTTTGAAAAAAAAAGATGTGCTGACACTCACTTGTGTTCATCTGCCTGTGTCAGAATTCTGGTTTTTACTACACCCTGCCAGTTTGCCCAGTAGTAAAATTAAACTTCCTGGCAGAAAATTGCCAACACAGCTTCAGAGGTCTTCTTAACAAATAGGCGTTACCTCAACTCCACTCCCGTTATCTAGTATGGAGGCTATTTAAAATATTTTCTGACTGTCTTGCCCTTCTCAGCTTTAATAAACACCTGTGAATATTGGTCACTCAATACCCATCCAGCATAGCTCGTCATTCGTACAGGGCAACATTGGAAACACAGGCACTGCAAGGTCAATCCCATATTTTCTACCTAAATACCTCTATAATTATCCTCTGTCTAGTAGAAATTGTGGATTCCCAGCTCTTCTGAAAAATCAGGCCAATTATTTAGATGCCTAACTGTGAATGTAGAAGCCCAACCTTATGGCCCCAATTTTTAAAATTTGGACCTTTCGTACTCAGACTTTTTAAACTAACAAGTTTTCCCAACCCCATGAGTGTAAAAGAAATGAAGGCGGGGTTCTGGAACAGCCCAGTATATTCCAAATCAAAATAATTCATCGTCATCATAATAATTATTTACGCTTAGTATTTATAAACAACAGGTAGTTTTTCAATTGTTACTAA